AGCTCAGTCAGAATGATTACATATGACTGGGAGGGGTCCCCACACACCAGATTTATTGTGTAAAAGAAAGAACTTGAATAAGAAACTCAAGAGTTTGATCTGTTGATAATGTAATTCAAGAAGAAATAATTATGAGTGGCCTTTTGGAGCTGCACATCTGACCTGTAATAGGAAATAACAGAGCGCAGAGTGTACTGCCTCCAACTGCCAGGAAGGAAGCACATTTCTGACCAGGCTGTCACTTCTGGCATGCCATTAAAGATTACATTCCTTTGTATGGGTAAATTAAATATTTTGAACCAAAGGGCACCTTATTTTCCTCAGCTCTCTTTTTGACTGTTATTTACATATTTGTCGTCTTCTTACAAGGTTGGGTTTGTGCCTCTTGTTTGGAATCTGTTGGTTGGAGACTCTTTCTGATGTGGGAGGGGGCTCATGAAGGGTGGGGGCTCCTCCAGTGCCCACCTGAGGGCAGAAGGAGGCATCTTGGGGCAGTGACACCCTCCCCCCACAGGAACAGACCTGAAGTGCACCTCAGTGTTTTCCATTGATTCCTCTCGATTCAGCCAGTGTTTATTGGTCTGCAGCATATGGCACTCACAGTCCACACAGCAGACCCTCCCCACCATGGGGTCAGAGCATGTGTGGCACCAGCAGCCTCTGCTTCTCTGCTTCCCTGGCCCCCCAAGCCTGCACAGACCCCCCGGGTGCTGCTTACTGCACAGGCCAGACCATCTCTGAAGATGGATAGGCAGCCCCCCGAGGGCGTAGAGCCTGCTAGGTTGGCAAGTGCATATGTGTCCAAGCCAAGGCAACAGGGAAGCACCAGGCTTAGGACAAGAGAGGCAAGACTGGGCAGCACCCTGGAGCCTGGAGAGGGCACTTCAGTTTGCACCGTGGCGTGAATGCTGTGGCATGGGCTTGACATGGGCCATGAAGAGTGAGGGGGATTTTCACTGCAGCAGATGGAGGAAGTGGTCCAGGGGGGACCACTGAGCAGAAAGAAGAGGCCCCAGCCATGTGCATGCCATCAGCAACCATCTTCTGGCTGGTCACTGTCAAGGGGGTGGTTATGGACAGAGGCCAAAATGGGGTCCCTGCCTGTGAACCTCTATGGTCTGCATTTTGGGGTTGTAGCCTTGTGGCTGTTGTGCACATTCCCAACCCAACTGCCAGACACCGCTGGGGCAAATCAGTGCTTTGCATTGAAACGTGTCCTTGCCTGTGTGTGACTTTGCTGCCTCTGAATATCCTGCTTCGTGCGCTGTTGAGCGGGAGGTATTCTGGCCTAGAGAGCAGGCCCCTTGCCTGACGAGCAGTGTTTCTGAAGGAAGGTATGGGGTGTCTTGAGGAAAGGGGCTGGCTATCTTGCAGAAGCCAAGTTCTCCTCATCGTGTTGCATCCTGTGTTCTGGGGCTGGTGCCGCTGAGTTTGCGATGAGAAGAGGGTTTCCCTCTGGCAGTGTATTTCTCTGTCTGTTCTGGAAAAGAGGGGAATGAAGTTCCAATTCTTTTTCTCGTGTTTTCAGCTCAGTCGTCTGTCTTAGCAAAGAACACTTGCTAATTATCAGAGGCCCTTCCTGATGGCAAGAGAGAGGAGGAATTCTTCCATATCCTGGCTGCTCATGGGACGGGCTGGGGTGGAGGGGTCAGGAGGGGGGATGGGGACCTCTGTCCATCTGCAGACGACTCAGCTGAGCAGTGAGTGACCTGGCAGCCACACTGGGGACCGAGGTGGATGGGAGAGTTCACCCTGGGCCTTTTCAGTGCCCATGATTGGCTGACGGTGCTTCCGAGGCCGGCGATGACCGTCCCCACCCTGCCTCTGCACGCTCCTGCCAGCTCCCTGATGAGCCCTCCGTGCAGCGCTGTCACATATGCATGCTGCCAGGCTAGCAGTGACGACATTTGTCTCCTGCTGCCCAGGCTGGTCAGGGTGTGTGGGGAAGCCAGGCAGAGCTGGGGGGTGGTCTCTGCGGGTGCAGGGGTATGGGAGGCAGAGGCTGCTGGTGCCACATATGCACTGGCCCCGGGCGGTGGAGGGGCTGCTGTGTGGACCATGGGGGTACAGAGCAGGTGCCATGTCCTGCAGCTCACTGTGTGGCCTGCGGACACTGCATATTCAGGTTGGGTAGTGCCACACATGTACCACGACCGCCTCATCTTGAAGAGAGGTTGTGTGAAGAGAAGGAAGCAGATCACCATTTGCATTAGGCCATCTGGAGGGCCCCCTGCATCAGTTTTCCTGAATTCTCTTTCTCTAGGGGAACACACTGAAGTCTAGAAGTTGATGTTTTAAGACTTTTTAAGAAAAGTTATTTCAAATTAAGTTCATCTCAAGCACTAGGCTCAGTGTTCTCTCCACCTGTGTGCCCATGACTGAGAGGTAAGCCAACCCCTGCCCCTCCCCTGCTACAGCTCTACCAGGTCTGGGGGACTCTGGGACTGAACAACCTTGACTGACCGGTGCACTGAGCAAGTGCCTCCACCGCATTGCCGCCCTCCCCCTCCAGATCTGTAGCACTCAGCTGTCTCTCTACCATCCACTCAATGATTAATCACCAACAGGCTTGTCATACTTTAACAGTGTTACCTCATCTCTAATGATGCTTTATACTCTTATTTAAGTGTTCAACATGACTTAAATTTTGTAAATATTTGGTACATCTGCACAAATGGACAGTAGCTGTTCCAGGAGGAAAATCTGGCAGTTCTTTTAATGCTGCATATTAAGGAACTACATTCCTCTTCCCTTGGTGAAAGCTGCTTGCTGTTGTTCAAATAGAAAGCATTTTTATATTGGAACTATCTAATGATAGACCCTGGAGAACTACTGGGAGGAGGCACCTGCATAGGAGTCAGATGCAGCTAGCATGAGGAAGGTCTGCATATGACTAACAGAGATCCCGCAGTCATGGAGGGTCCCACAGAGTACGGACCTTGGGAAATGAACTGAGACCCACTGGCTTTGAGAGAAAGACGGGCACATGACAGGGGATGGATCCTGTGAGGTGTAGCTGGAGAGCCCCTTAGACGAGCAGGTGACAACCCAGGTGTCCCCCAGGAGAATGCTCCGGAAACCGACCAAACAGGGCAGGGAGAAGTGGATTGGGCCCGCCTCCCAGGAGCTGGACTGTAGAAACCTCCAGGGGACGTGAACATGGCCGCAAGGCCGCACTCCGCGGGACGTCTCTGGGCTGGGGCCATGACGCTGTCCTGGGTGCGGGTCACACCGAGTGCTGGGCAGGCGCTGGAGCGTGACTTCAGGGCTGCTCACAGGAAACGTGCACTGGGCACCTACCCACCAAAGAGTCCGGGTGAACTTTCGAAGGAGGGGAACCCCGGCGACGGTGGAGCGGTACTAAACTGAGCAGCAGCCCAGGGGAGCGGCATGGGCGAGGTCAGGGAGCCTTGGGGCTCCGCGCCTGGCAGACTTCGCAGTGAGGAAACAGAGGTGAAGTGACTTGTCCCAAGTAAATTAGAGACAGAGCAGGCCAAGACTCATTCATCTAGTCGTGCGTTTATTCACAAACTCTGCTGAGCACCCCCAGGGGCCCGGCACAGTTCCCTGCCCTGGATCCGGGTGTCCTGACTCAGACACAGTGCTCTTCCAGTCCCCAGGCTCCCTGCCTTGGTCTAGATTGAAGGCATGTCTGGCATCGGACTCAGACGAGGTTGGGCCCACAGATTCCCAAGATATACAACCAAGCTACCTTCTAGATCTGAAGGAAGAAGATGAATCAAGGAAGGGGCAGCAGAACCGGCTGCACTGATTAAGTTACCAGATGCAAGCACACCTTGGCACTTGAAAGCTTAGCACTCTGTGTTCGTGTGTACCTTTACCCGAGACCGTTACTTGGAATACAGACTTTAAAAATGGAAATGGGTTTCTGCACCTGGTTTGACTACATTGAGCTTAGAGAGAAGCTGGGAAAGGGAGCGAGGGTGGGGAGTGGGGAGGGCTCAGGTGTGAGAGCAGGGCAGTGCTGGCAGGAAATGGGCATTTTCCAAATGCCAGGCCACTGCGGGAGAAGAAATAGGAGCTAGAATAGGATGAAAAGTGGTTCTCTAGTTCTGTCTGATAGATGACAGGCCGTGTCTGACTAGGCGCTAAATGAAGTCCTGGGACTTCTGCTCAAGACATGGCCCATTTTGGAAGGTTCTGTGTTCCTGGGAAAGAACAGCCAAATGAGGAAATACCCCAGTTTCCCTACCACTGGTCTGGGAGTCTGCGCCTGTGCTAGTAGTGGCCATAGCTGATGCTTAATAGCGCTTTTCTACGCTGCAGTGTTTATGTGTAATAATCGTGAGATTGTTAAGGAGGGTGGTGGTACTCCCACCTCACAGAGTCGGGAGCTGAGGTTCTGGGAACTTTAGGGGCTTGCCTGGCCCACAGAGCTCATCTGCAGGAGAGCTGGGTCCGAGACAGTCCGGGTCTTCTAAATCCGAGTCTTCTAAATCCGAGTCCGCCATTTTCCTACCGTGCTCTCCTGTTTCGGGTGGGGACGGCCTCTAGGTTTAACTTGTCTGGGGACAGACGCACACCAGGTCCGTCAGGCCCGAGCCCTGGAGCCGGGTGCGACGGAAGGGCGTTAGATGAGGCCATTCCAGTGTCAGCTCCCTTCTTTGGTGCAGGGGTTTCACCCAGGAGGCTCAGGAGGCATGGAGGTCTTTCTGGCCTCTGCTGACCTGGCCTTCCCAGGCTCACATCGGCTGCATCACAGAGAATGTTCACCAGCCATGACAGTACAGTATTCAACATGGGGACATTTTAAAAAGTTGGTGTCAAAACTTCTCAAAGTGGTCTTGGCACCTTTAATCCCGCCGAGTTTCAGTGAGCCTGGGGCATTCTCTAGCTGCCGGGGTCGCCCCAGTGCCCTCAGGGCTACAAGAGAAACATGGGGAGGAACAGGTGGGCCCGGTCTGATCCGGATTTCCCACGGGCTGCTGCCGGCCTGGAAGTGTGGGCCCGCAATTGACCGTGTCCTCTGTCCCTTCTAGGGCTGCCAACTTCAGGAACTTCACCTTCATCCAGCTGAACGGGGAGTTTTCTCGGGGAAAGGGGCTCGATGTCGGAGCCCGCTTCTGGAAGGGAAGCAACGTCCTTCTCTTCTTCTGTGATGTAGACATCTACTTCACCTCCGAATTCCTGAACACGTGCAGGCTGAACACCCAGCCAGGTAGGGGCGTGTGCGGTTGGCTTGTGTCCTGTCCCTCTGCTGTCTGGCTTCTCACATTCAGACACTGTTCTCTTCACAGTTGACTCTGACATCCTGCTTCTAAGTCTCCCTTATTTTACCACCAGTGACAAAGAAAAGGAAACCATCTGGTATGATTTCTCCTTTGATGTCACAGTGTGGGCCTGTCAGCCAGCATAATTCTGGGACTCTTTGTCCCGAGTTTGTGTTCATAGAATGTTTTCCATTTTCAGCCAGGAAGTTAGTGTTAGTGAACATGCACAGGAGAGAGCGTGGATCTGGAGAAGCTGCCCGAAGCTGACGGGAAGGGAGTAGCTGGGGGCAGTCCTGGGGGGACGGCTCTGAGCAGAGAGAACCCGCAATGTGAAAATTACTTTTGTAGGCAAAGCTGGTATTCAGCTGGTAAATGCTGGAACAGACATGGGAGTTGTTAAAATATCAAAACTCTTCTGTGTAAATTGGTAAAGAGCTCCTGCTCTGGGCTCCCCAACTGCTCCTGATGCCCGAGCTCACTCCGGCCCATCTAGCGACCCTTCAGACTGCCCCAGGAGCCAGCACAAAAGGGAGCTGAGGTTCTGGGAACTTTAGGGGCTTGCCTGGCCCACAGAGCTCATCTGCAGGAGAGCTGGGTCCGAGACAGTCCGGGTCTTCTAAATCCGAGTCTTCTAAATCCGAGTCCGCCATTTTCCTACCGTGCTCTCCTGCACAGTAGGGCGGGGACACCAGGTGTCTCTCTCACACCCACTCCACTAGCGCAAGGGCCACCCACCGTCGATATTTTGAGTAATCCCAGGAGATCAGAGGCATCTGAGGATCAGTCTATCTCGTCTACCCTATGCAGAATGTCTCAGATCTGTTTTGGCGTTGAGTGATGGGAAGAGGAAGAGTGGTACAAATATCTGGTTTATTTCATGGGGGCTGACTATAAATGAACAGCCACAGCAGTTCTATCTGTCACTTAAGCAAGTGTTTGTTTTCTGGTTTGCAGGGAAGAAGGTGTTTTACCCAGTCCTTTTCAGCCAGTACAATCCAGGTATAATATACGGCCACCAGGATGCGGTCCCTCCCTTGGAACAACAGCTGGTGAGTAATCACCCCGCAGGAGCCTTTCTGTGGCTGTTTCATGTCTTTCATTACCAGGGGCACCTGACCATGAGTAAAGGTGAGTGGGAATCTGTGGACTGATTCCCGTGGTAATTTTTAAGTTTGGCAGACAGACGTTCTGGCCTTTGCTTCCAGCGTCTTGTTGATGAAAAGTTTTTGCAATATTTAAAGGTGAAAAATAAACAGGAACAGTGCCTTAGAGAAAGGTAATTTCACACCGTCATAGTTTCCTTCTGTGGGTTTTGGAAACTAGTATTATTGCATTGTGGGAACAGCACATTTTTTCTTTATTATTACAAAATCCTATAAGATAAGAAAGGTGAGATTTATGCTCCCATTGGACAGATGGAAACCGAGGTGGCAGTGGGCGGCTCGCCCCAGGGCACGCAGCAAGTGGGTCCATGGGCAGCAGGGGCCACTCCCAGTGTCCATCCATCATGCCGCCATCCCTGACAACGTGGTGTCATGGGGTGGGTGTTAGCCTCAGACGTGTCACCGGTGAGGTGGCTTTCAAAGCAGTATCATGGCTGCGGAAGTGATGGGTAGTGGACCACACAGCCACCAAGGATCTCTGTGAGCTGGGAGGGCCCTGTTGGGAGTGGTGGCCCCTAGTCCATCCAGCAGAGAAGCAGTGCCGGCAGTGGGAGGATGAGGTGCAGCCGGAAGGGGGGTCTCTGCACCACACATGAGCACATACCCAAGACCAAGTTTCCCGTCGCTGTTGTCACCCCAAGTTGGGCTGTGATCTTTCCCTGCACAGAGATCTCTTGAGTCTGTCCCGCGCTGTGTTGTAGCTCCGAGGGGCATCTGACCGCAGGGCTGTCTGTTCTCACTGCTGTGGGTAGCTCTGTCTCCTGGTTAGCAGAGCTGTGTTTCTCCCCATCAAGAACCTCTCAGGGTGGAGAAGGGAAATCTCTGTGTAAACAGGAAGATGTGAAAGGACAAGTCTCTCCTGCTTCTGTGCACTCTCAGAGTAACATGATTTACCTTGAAAACGTGGTCTATGAAACTCTTTTGAAAGACCGATTCTGTATGGAAGCTTCCCAAAGTAGCAAAACGTGTTCTCTTCAGCCCCATCTGTGCCTGCCTACAGGGACCCTCTGGCAACTGATGTAATGACCTTTGCTGGAAAGTTTCAGCGTGTCCCCTCAGGTCGGACAAGGCTTGCTCCTCAACCATGTCCTTGCCTGGTGTCACTCTGGGCCAAACCGTACGGCACAGTAATGACATGGTCTCTCCTCCCCCAGTGAAATCCTAATCCCACAGGGCTGCTGAATAAACTATTCATGCATTGTATGTATATATCTGCTTTATACATAAACACAGTAAGAGATTTTCCCTTCAAAAGAACTAATGTTTATCTATTTTGGGGCAATATTGCCCCTGTTGAGACAGGAAAACATCTCATTCCCTTTCTGTAATAGTTCTAAGCTTCAGGGGGAATGGGATACAGGATTTATTTTCTTTCAACCCATCACAATAAAAGTTCCTTTGATTTTAAATTAAGTACTGATTCCCATTTGATACTCAATGTGATTAATATTTTGACTTTAAACTCATAAAGATCTTATTTGCTTGCAAAGAATTCTTTTCACACCTTAAAAGTTTTGTGCTTTTATTACCATTCCTGCAGGGAAGCAGGTACAAAGAGAAGCTAGAGGGAGGGCACAGCTAAGCCAGTTCCTCAGATCCTCAGAATTCGTGGCCCAGCCAGAAACAGAGTTCAGATGCTGTGTCCATGGCTAGAGTCTCAGACTATCCTGTACCCTTTGACATTCGCTTCTACCTTAGACTTTTCCTAGAGCACCTATGTCTGCCATTTCAGGCTTTGGTGTTTAGTTTAGTCCAGAGAAGCACAGCCGTTGTCTCTGAGACGAAGGGCTCCCCCTCTGGAAAGGAGAGCTATTGCTGAGATTCTCTCTTGAGCACGTGCTGCCTACAGAGACCTGACTGGGAGTTAGAGGGGGAGGCAGAATGCCTGAGCAGTTTCATGTACTCAGAAGTGATCCGCGAGACCATTCCACTCTCTCACTTCCTTCTCACGGACCTGCCCAAGATCACACCGCCAGCTGGCAGCAGAACTCAGGCCGGAGCGGGGTGTCCTTGCCCTGGTACGGTAGGAACAGACTTGCTTAGGATCTAGATGAGAGCTTCAGCAGAATGGAAGCCATCTAAATCTGGTTCCTTTGTACCACCTGTTCACATGCCAGTAGGTACTGGCTCCCATTCTCCGCAGCCTGTGGTCACCCCTCTCCAAAGGTACTTGACCACTGACCTGCATTTCAGCTTAAATTTCTAGAAATTGCTGACTGGGCACACTATCCTTTCAGTCTGCTTTTCTTTATTCAAGAAGCAGGCGCTCCCAGGGTATGAAATGCAATCCTGCCAGATGCCACCTGGGCGGCCTTTTGTGAGCCAGCCCTGTGCCGCCCTCGTGTGGTTCTGGGTGAGGACAGCTGTGCTCGGTGCACAGGTGAGGAACTGGAAGCTTAGACCCCTGCGTTACTTGCTCAGACTAAGTGGCAGAGTCGGACTCAGGTGCTACCCCACGTGATGGGGCCTGGAGGCAGGGGCACACTGCTTGGCCTCAGAGGGCTTCCAGGAGGGCATGGGATCTGGCTCAAGAGTACAGATTCCTAGAACAGAGGGAGCCTGGACGGGGGGTCTTTGTCCAGCATGACACCCTTCAGGAGATACTTCATTTTTTCAAATGCAGATGCTGATAAAAGACTTGTAGAAAAATGTGGATTAGTGTCCATCTTGGAGGAGTTGGCATTCGAGGTCTATTCCTAAACCACTTCTTTGGAAGCTGCGGCTCCAGAATATTTTTTTTAAGCAACAGGTGTTGTCACAGGACTTTTGGTGTTGGTCTAGGCCTCAGTGATCCTGGGCAAGTCACTCTACGTCCACGCCACAAGGAATGCATGCTCCCTGCTGCCCCTGAGTCCTGTGTGGTGTGACCGCTGCACCCTCAGGGCCCAGACAGTGTGGGGCGCGGGGCACCCTGCCCAGCCACAGAAGCCTCTGAAGCTCAGGGTGTCTGCTGCTCGCGGGCAGGACTGGCTGCATAATCAGCATGGCCCAGCACACAGTGAAAATGCAGGGCCTTTGGTCAAAAACTATGAGGAATTTCAGGATGGCAGCTGCAGAGCACAAAGCCTTCTGCAGGTGGGGCCTGGGGCCTGCTTGGGCAGCCTGCCACTGGACTTTCTGCCGACTGTGAGACTGTTCACACAAAGCTTCGCCTCTTGGGAGACGCCCTCTGATGTAGAGGAAAAATACTCTGCATGAGTATGTTAGTCCCTTTATTGAAGGGCCCAGGTTGTTGCACGGGTAGCCATCCAAATCAGCACCACCACCCGGACAGGCGCAGCTGCAGGGCGGCCTCCTTCCCACATCTCTGGGGAGAGGCTCCTATTTGTGTTTTGGGCCTAATAGAAAAATACTCCCCCTGCCGAGTGACTCACCCATGGAGCTGTGGTTCTGCAGGTTCCTGTGGAGAGCAGGCTTGACAACGGTCCTTTCTGGTGAGTTCTCTCCAGTCTCTGCGGAGACCATATAGGAGATACAGGGAGCTGCGGAGAGCTGAGAGGCGCTGGCCCTTGGAAGGCAGTCTTTAAAATGAGGCTGTCACTGGAAGCAGATTAGTGCAGCTCAGAAAAGGAGGGGATGTTTTTCTTTTGGATGTAATCTTTGTCTTCGGGTCCCCTCCTCTGCGATAGTGGACATCGCTAGTGTGTGTGTGCTTGAATGTTTGCACACAGCCGTGCGGCTCCTTATGTCTGGGGCAAAGCCCTCTGCTTAGACCCCAGGAAGGTGGTCCAGAGCCACACGATTCTGAGTTTTCCCATTGGAATTCCTCGGCCTTTGCTGAACTAGTCAACAAGAACTCCCGACTGAGCCACATCTGTCTCCACGGGCATGTAGCCGCCTCTGCCCTGGGACCGCTGCTCACCCACCCAGTGGGGAAGTGTTTATTGAGTATCTGCTGTGTGCGGGACAGTGGCCTGGGTGCTGCGGACACAACTGTGAGCATGACCATGGCTCTGAGCTTATGTTTACCTATGGGGATGGTCAGCAGACACAGGTACATCACAGGCAAATTTCAGAGAGCCATGGTGTGCCAGAGAAAATAAGCCAGGTGACAGTATAGAGAGTGACCTTGGTGGGGGTGACACTCACTGGGAGGGTTCGGATGACCACTCTGAGCCAGTGACATTGGGACGAGCCCAGTGGTGAGCAGGGAGAGGGTGGCCAGGCAGTAAGCCCGTGCAGCCTGTGACCATGGTGCATTCAAGGGCAGAATGGAAGGGCCTGGAAAGGGACACGAGATGGGTGAGGCAGGCTGGTGGCATCCTCGTGGATTTTATTCTAAGTGCGTCAGGGAGGATGCGGTGAGAACCACTGCGGGGCCTTCACAGGAGCAGACTGTGGTCTGAGCCCTGAGCACCTGAGCGTGCTCCCTAAGCTAGGCCGCTCACTGCGGGCACCACTCCAGGTGGGGTGTGTGCATCTCACCGACACTGCGCGCTGTGGGCCAACCAGATGGTGGGCAGTCCTCACCAAGGCCTGAATTTCAATGAGCTCCTCACACAGCGGCCTTTTGTGGCCAGCCAACATTAAAGCCAGTGTCACTAAGCATTTATATAGTGCATTCCCGAGCTCATCAGTCAGGCCTTCTCTGTCACGCCGTCCCTAGCTGAGGGTCACTCTTCACCTTGTTCAGCCTTGCTGGGCTCAGCGTCTGCTCAGCATGGGGCCTGGGGTGTCTCCCTCCTGCAATCCCTGTCGTCCTTCTGTCTGAGTTCCTGGCCCATTGTTTTTCCTCTGTGGGGCTTACTCTTTGAGAGTCTGTAAAGACCTCAGCCAAATATCTGAAGCTTGGGTCCTGGCACTTCTCTTTGACTCCATTTTTATCTGGAAGCTTAGAAGGACCCATGTCCTGGCTGGTGGGAAGGGCATCAAACTGTGCACCAGGCATGATGGGGAGGAAACAGAAACCATTTTTAAGAAATGACTCAGTGGAGATTTTTCCTGCCCTGCAAATTCTTTCCAGTTAATACCAATGACATTGTCTTGTCCCGTGGGAGACACTCTATAACAGGCCTTTCTTCTGCAGAAGCACTGGAGAGCATCTGCCGGGGGCACACGGGCCAAAGGATTTTCCATGGGCAGCCCTGATGCAGGCTAATGGCAGTGCAGGAGGCATCCTGTGTAGGGTGTAATGAGAACAAGATGGTGTCCTAAGTTACAGAGTAAAAGAATTTGTAAGTTTATCCACCCCTCTGCAAGCCATCTGTCGAATGTATTTTACCTCTGGTGGAGATCAAAGCTGGGGAAGGTGGAATAGCAGAGGGAGGGGAAGTGTTTGGGTGTTAGAGCAAGAAGAGCCTTTAGGGGTGCTTAGGCTCTACCTCCTCCTTCAGGGGGAAGGAAATAGAGGCTGGAAGAAGCAAAGGACCTGCCTGGGGCAAAGACACCAGCCAGCGGTCAGGTTAGGACAAGACGCTGCTTCGCCCCGCTCCCCCCTACAACCCGTCCCGTCCCCCCCACCCACTCCGCCACACACACAGTGGCTAATCCGCGGGGAGCAGAGCCAGGCACCCGGATGGATGGATGAGGCAGGGATCCTCATGGGCGGGGCCTGGTGGCTCCATTTCCCTGGGGGGTGGGGGGGGCTTCCTGTCGTCTCTGCCCCATGTTAACTACAAGAATGAATCATGACAAAGAACTAGTAAGGTCTCAGAACCATCCCGGCATTATCTCAGCCAAAATATACGTAAACAGATGTGTTTAAAAAGTCTTGCTGCTTCAGCAAACACAATGGAGATTTACCTGCAGAGGAAGAGCCCAGGCGAAGCCAGGCCTCGCTGTCTAAAGACAGTCGCGGCCTGGATGGCCCCTCGGCGGCCCTGCAGCCTGGCACCACTGCACGTGCTGGGGAGCCGTTTGGCTGTGGGACAGTCTGGAGCTGAATGGGCGCAGCCTGTCCTAGGAGCCTGGACACCGAGCACCCTGCTCCCTGGCAGGCAAGTTAGCCGAGGGTCCCCCGGGAGTCCTGTGTGTGCACTGTGCCAGCGGCCGAATTCCGAGTTGTTCTCTGCCCTTCTTCTCAACTTCCAGAGCCCTCTGCTGGCTCCCTGCTCGGCTCAGGGTGAGAGGCCGTGGCCTCCAGTTCTCCTGGCTCTGGTGTGGGGAGAGACATGTAGGTGGCTTTTCCATGGCCCTGCTCAAAATCTTGCTCTTCTGGTTTGTTTTTAAGCGTTGAGAGTGAGTGTGAGAGTATGTATGTGTGTGTGTGTGTGTTTCATGCCTACATCCTAGAAACGTTCCAGCCAGAGATTCCAAAATCCCAGGCTTCATCTCGGGGCCAGCGAGTGTCCAGTGTGGCTGGCCGTCCGGGGAGCCTCAGGTCCGCCTGCCAGCCCCCGGGCTGCGGGTGTGGGTGGCCCAGGCCCCCACTGGGTGGCGAACAGCTCACACGCTGCGGTAGATGCTCTGTTGTTCTACATCCGCTCTGTCCTTCCCCCTCCAATGATGGCACTTTCCCTGCAGGTCATAAAGAAGGAAACTGGATTCTGGAGAGACTTTGGGTTTGGGATGACATGTCAGTATCGGTCTGACTTCATCAACGTAGGTAAGGCACCCAGGCTGGTGGCAGGTCCGCCTCTCTGCTGCCACCTGAGGCCAGTGAGGGGCCCGGGCCAGGCGGGCTGGGTTCTGGGCAGCGGCTGGAAGCATCCCTGAGAAGGCGCCCCTCCTGTGGGCATGGAGGCAGGACTGAGAGGGGCCCTGGGAGTGTGGGGCTCCTTCGCCTGTCATCGCTGTCTCCCCGAATGAGGCACACTCAGGAGAAGGTAATTTTTCTGCACAGAGGCAGCTGAGGCAAGTTCCCCAGGGCCTCCATCCTGCTGCCTCTCCTGTAGAACATACTGGCCTCCACAGTTGGGAGTCCGTTAAAAAATAAGGGCAAGGTGGGGAATTTTGGAAAATGACATATCAAAAAAGATCCAAATTTCTCTCTGCTGAACCTTGAATATTCTGGGTGTCACTTCAAGCTCTGGCTGAGTGTATAGTTACCATCAGCACACATGCATGCACACATGCACACACACATGCACACACACACACACACACATGCATGCACACACACGGGCTCCGAGGGACATAGGATGATCATAGAATGTCCCCATGGATGTGCCGCCCCACCTGCCTGGAGTGAGCCCCACCCATGTGCCTCAGGAGGACATGGAGTTGTGGCTTATATGTGACCAAGGTGTGGGTGAGCCGTTCGGAAACCTTATCTTGGGCTCAGGGTGGACCCCAAGTTGGGATGGCGTTGGGGAGCCCCTGCACTCCCCCAGCATGGAGGTGCCCCTCCCAGGTTCCCCAGGCTCCCGGAGCCCGCTCCTCTTGCCCCTTTATCGTCTACTCCCCCGGCCTGGGGCCTAAAGCTTCTCTTAAGGTCAGTGAGTGGATCTGAGCGGCCCCAGGTTTTTGTTCAGAAGTGAGGTCGACTACAGGGACTGCAGAACCCTTACGGAAATTACTGGGTTCAAAAGGAACAAATAAAAACCTTGAAGTCAAGTCCTCTAAGAAGCAGCAGAGCACCCGGGACTTTGGTCTCTGTGTAGGGGCTGTTCTTAGACACCCAGCAGCGAACCCCAGGTGTTTTTTAATTTTTCCAAGAAATATTCCTTACTGATTATGTACAAATCAAATTTCCTGAAGTGGCATATTTTTAAAAGTTTCTGAAAGAGATTTCCATTTTGAGAACTCTGTATTTCTACATAGAAGATAAGATTATTTGAGCATGATGTATGCTCATCAAATTTGGGTTTATATCATATCGGATTTTCCTAAAGGTGGGGCATGGCTGTAACTGAAAAATGCGAGCATGGCAGGCTGGGAAGGGCGCACCTCAGCAAACCCTTCCATGACCTCTGACCTTTGGGCCACATCTGAACCCTGCTCATTCTTTGCAGCGTGGCCTCAATTGGCAAGCGTCTTCCTTGTGCATCTTCTATTTGATAACTTGTAATGCTGCCTGTGATGATATATCAGTTACAGATGAGCAAGACAAGCCCCTTACATTATGGTCTTGTTTGATTCTGACACCTGCTTCATTTCAGGGTAAAGAGACCCAAACCCAGGAGAGGTAAAGTGGCAGCTTGTATGAGAACCAAGACATAAATTCCAGGCCCTTGACTCACACACACCCACCTTCCTTTGCCTCCTCTCCACCGAGGGGCCACAGGGCTGGGCGTGGTTCTCCCTGAGCGCAGCCCCTCCGTGGTTCCGGCGACAGCCATGGTCAGAGCCTCACAGCTTGGGGGCTGAAGGGGACAGAGGGCTACACAGTGACTGAGAGCCGTGGCTGAGAGCCACCTCACTGTTTCTTGTGGAATGAACCTCCTAAGCACACAAAGAACACGATCAAAAGAAGCCCCTTTGGTTCCATTTGGGTCGCAGTGGGCTTTAGCGAAAGGACAGACAGGGGGCCTCTCGGCTCACACGGTTGAGGCTTTGCGGAGCACCCCTCACTCTGTGGGGCAGTCCGCCAGGAAGTGAGGCAAGGGTCCGAGTGGGACTTCAGGGCTGCCTGTGAGGCCATCCCTCTACCACGACTCGCTCACCAGCCGGGGCCACACACACAGCCTCTCTGGAGCACGTCAGTCTGGGGAAGGATGAGCGCTTTTGTGGGCTCTTGAGTTTTTCATTCCGGGTTCCCAGTGCTCTCGTGCTGCCAGAATGATAGGTGGGGTCCACACTCACACAGATGCACAAGAGTTTGCATTCAGAGGTGGCACGTCAAAAAGTTGGGCCGCTTTGGCTCTTCGTCCAAGGCTGGGGCTCTCTGTTAGTGCTGCCCCCGGCTCCAGAAGCGGGCAGCCGCCGGGAATGCTGGGTACAGCCTTGTCCCTCAGGTGGGTGCCGGCTGCCAGGGTGCTTCCCTGTGCGGGGGCTCTGAGTTCTTGACCTGGAGGGACATATGGTCACGTGCAGGGCAGTGAGACCCTCTCCGCAGATGTCCCTTCTCTGGAGCTTGTGCAGGCCAGGAAAGCAGAGGAGGCCCAGTGGCGCCTGCCAGCCTGACCCTGCGTGTGCTCTCTCCCCACCAGCCCGGCCCCGCGTGTGCTCTCTCCCCGCCAGCCCAACCCCGTGTGGGCTCTCTCCCTGCCAGCCCGACCCCGCGTGTGCTCTCTCTCCCGCAGGTGGGTTTGACTTGGACATCAAAGGTTGGGGTGGGGAGGACGTGCACCTTTATCGCAAGTACCTGCACAGCAACCTGGTGGTGGTGCGGACACCCGTGCGGGGCCTCTTCCACTTGTGGCACGAGAAGCACTGTGTGGACGAGCTGGCGCCCGAGCAGTACAAGATGTGCATGCAGTCCAAAGCCATGAATGAGGCATCCCACGGGCAGCTGGGCATGCTGGTCTTCAGGCCCGAGATAGAGGCTCACCTGCGCAAACAGAGACAGAAGACGGGTAGCAAGAAAACATGAACTCCCAGGGGTAGTACTGGGGAGACATTCTATTTTTTTAGCTTTTGCAATTCCTGAAGGAGTGTCTGCAAACAGGGACAAGAGGCCTGTGGAGGGTGAAACAAGAATCTAACGGATCAGTCAAAGAGATGAGGGGAAGCCTCCAGTTTCTTTCTGCCTATTTGGCTTTGTAACAGGAATAAAATCTCACCCTTTGCCTGCAGAGGAACCCAGATGCAGAGCCCGTGCCATGCCCAACAAAGGCAGAATGATTGTGAGATTAGAAGCCTAATGGCGGGAGGTTTTGATTGTGTTTATAGCAAGTGAGATCTGTTCTTTTCTATGCCCACTGAAATATTCATGAATTAAGACTGATTTTGTAAAAAGTTCATTAGAATGAGAGGCAAGCACATTGTTCCCCACGTGAATGATTATTCAGTAGAGCTCTAGTGTCTAAGGATTCGAAAATATCAGAAGGCAGGCAAGGAGACCATGTGAAATTCAAAGATAAATTCATCCCGAAACTTCTGAGTGTATTAAGCAAAACCAAATGGATTAAAAAAGACAAAAAACTTATTGTGGCATTTTTCCCCAAGATTAACCAAAAATAATCTGCTCAACTTCTTGGTTATAGTTTTGACCATCTCCGTTTGTTAATTTCATTTAAAAATGCACTTTTTCTTTTTGCTTACGAGTTATATTCTGCTTATTTAATTACCAATTTGCAAGCCTTACTAAGAGAGCACAAGTTAGTATACATCTTTATATTTTTTAGGAAGACAGTTTTAGATGTATTGTAAGAACTTCCAGTTAGGAGCATCAGATTGATACCCATATCCAAGGACATGTGTCAAATACTGGGGAGGCACTGGGTAGGGCTCCTGATAGACCAGGACTTAGAAAGAATTCATCTGAAGAGTATTTCCCAAAAGGAGCAGCTGAACACTGGAGAAAATAAAGATATATTTTTTACCTTAAGAGGAAAGGAAACTTGTTCAGACTAGTGATATCTTGATTTATTCACAACTCAGAAAAACACATTTTCTCCTCAGGAGAAATGGGACCACTTTCTTACCTGTCTCAATAAACCAAAGTGTACTGTGCGAACCAAACAGTCTCTTTCCAAAGGAGGTGCTCTTCCTGGCTTCTGGCTTTCATAGGAAGAAATGCAGAAGAAATGTATTCTGTCAAAGATCCTTTCACCTGCCAGAGTCAGATGGGTAGATTTTGCTACATGGCCCCAATCTAGGGGGAAGTAACTTAATTATTTTTTAAATTAAGCAGTTCTATTCAGTCACCAAGATGCTTTTGAAAATTGCATTTTATTACAGTTTCTAACTATTAAAAAAAAATACAGTTAACATTGAGTGGTTTCATTCATGTGAAAATTATTCATTAGCCAGCACCAGATGCACAAGCTAGTTGTTACCTCTGATTCCTTGCCCTCTATGTGTCCACAGTCTACATATTGTTCAAAAGCTTCAAGAACATTCAAGCCATCGGTGTATAAAAAAAACATACATTGTATTGATTTGTACTGGTAGTTCATAAAATTCAATTAAAACACAGGATATGACTGGAAGGTGGCACTGGACAACTAATAAAACATGATTTGTGGGTATGATTTCTTTTTGGAGCAAGAAGATCATGGCTTTAGTTTTTGGAAAACAGCTTCCTGTGCACAGCCCTGGGTTTCCCAGCCTAGGCACTCTCGACAGTTGCAGGCGCTGTCCTGTGTGTCCCCCGTGCTGGAGGGTGTTTGCCAGCATCCCTGGCCCCTGCCCATTGGCGCCAGGAGCGCCCCTCACCGAGGGTGACAGCCACAGTCTCTGTGGTCAGCGCCCAATGTCCCCTGGGGCAAAACCACCCCTGGTTGGAGAACCACTGATCTAGAGAAAAGAGTAAGGAAAAACCTAGCTGTTAATACATTTTATTTGTCCTTTTTAATGAGAAGAAATTGAGACATTATGTCCAAGGCCCCTTTTGACTCATCGTGTGTCCTGTTTCCACGTATGATGGTGACACTGATTCAGGCGCGCATCTGCTGTCTCTCCTGTGGCCCTGAGGACTCAGTGGGGCGCACCGCACACTCCTGTCCTGCTGTGTTCCCCCGGTGCTGGGAGGATGTGCTGCTCATCACACTGGCTGTGGGGCACAGGTGCCTTGGCCGGGGACTCGGCTGCACCTGGGTGTCCTGCTCTCTGCAGTTCTGCTTGTTTAAACTGTGTATCACACAGGCCGAGACAATGGCTATGAATGGGTTTTAAAAGTTGCTGAAGGTAGCAGAAGAGAAGAGGAAACAGCACAATATTAAATGTCTTCTCTCTTTTTAAAGCATAGTCAGTAACCCTCTGTCTTAGCTTGTCTATGAGGGCACATGAGTCTGGGCGGCTGTACCAAAAATGCCACGGACTGGGTGGCTTAAACCGCAAGTGGTTTCTCAAGGTTGTGGGGGCTGGGAATCCAAGGTCAAGGGGCTGCCGATCCGGTGTCTGATCAGGACCCTTCTCCGTGCAGCCCCATGTGGCCAAGAGCCAACAGGGGGCCAGCTGTCCTCCTGCTCTTAAAGGGACCCGCATCCCATCTCAGGCGCCACCCTCACCACCTGCTTGCCTTCCAGAGGCCCACCTCCAAATGCCATCACAGTGGGGCTTCAGCAGGGGCCTCACAGGACCTGCCCCCTCCCCACCGAGACGCGGACAACGGCCGGGCTGGCAGAGGCCCCACGGGAACCATCAGAGGAGCTCGCAATCCAACTGTAGCCACAAAGGAAGGGCCACTAGGCCTGTCCTTGGAGGTGGGCACACGCATCCATAGGAGAGATGCACCACAGGAGCCAGAGGCTCAGGCTTGCCTCACTGTCCCCCTTGTCGCCTCCCTCCGTGTCACTGCGTATAAGCTGCCTGGTCACTGGCCGAGTCCCCGCACAGGAGCAGGGGTCTCTACTGCACTAGGCCTGAGCCCTCCAAGCAGCAGTGTGGGTGTGGGAGCCGCTCGTCCACACCTCTTCCCACGCTTGGAGTCAGGCACAGTGGGAGCCGTTACACCAGGAAGCGGGTGCCTGGCAGAGGCCACCCGCCAGGCCTCCCAGGCCCAAAAGGCTGCTCTCCAGCACACCCCTGCTGCCAGCCCCCCACACCTGACTGTGCACCCTTTCCCACCAATTGTCTACTTTCTAGCCCCTCTTCTGCACTCATGTGGCCAACCTGCCTCCACACACCAGTGATGAGACAGGCGGCGGGATCTTTATCAGGTAAAAGATGTCACACCTATTTTTAAGGTTCTGCCTGAACCAAGTTAGGAAATAATACACTGAATACCAACGCTGAAAAGAAGAGCTAACCAGAATCTGATTTCAGTGCACTTTGTTTCAGAGAAAATCATCCCATTTTATCTAATTTTCTCTCACCTGGGCTCGGTTCAGTGCAGCAGTTATATTTTAAATTGTTTTGCACATACTTTTATCTCCTAACAAAACATATTGAATAGCTTAGCACGTCAGTATATGTTGGTCTACCTTATTTTTAAAAAACATTTTTATATTGAGGTACACACAGTAGTTTACATGGTATTAATGGCTTCCCCAGACAGCTGCCAGGGTTGAAATTCCAGTTCTTTAATGTGCAGCCTATGTGACCTTAATGCAGTTGCTAGGCACCCCATCCCCATTTCCTCATCGGGGTGATGCATGTGAGCACATCCCTGTCAGGTGACTGCTGTGGAGATGAAATGTTGTAAGTGTGAGTCCTGAGGCTGTGGAGGCGCGTGGCAGGTGGCTGGGTCCCACTGTTAATACCAGATCTGCAGTCTCAGGATCTCTCTGCATCCGGGCATGCCCAGCAACTCTTGGGTGCAAGCAGAGGCTGTGCCTGGTCACACATGAGAGAGGAACCTGTCGTGTGCACTGTTGTCCTTTATTTCTGTCATTCTGAACACAGTTTCAGTAAAGCTGGAGAAAGGTTGCCGGGAGTGGAAGATATAATGGGTAATTTCTCCCTCAAATGGCATGCTCAGTAATTTGGAGTTGATGGTCCCCTAGGCAGTAGAGAAGCATTAGAGGTCGTTGAAGTAAAGGCAGAGCCAGGCACGTAATGTGCACAGGGTGAGCCTGCTAAGACAACATTGTTAACTTCTATTTTCCAGGTACAGAAAAGCTGAGGCTTGGGAGTGGTCGGGACCTGGCCCTGAGACCCAGCCAGCTGGCGGCGGGCTCCAAGCCCCACATCCTGGCCCAGAGGCCTGGTGGGTGGGGGACTGGCGGGGCTGGCAGGTGCCTGGCTTTGGCCTGGGGTGAGTCCGGAGCCTATCCTCTTGTGGGCAGTTTCCCCTGGTTTCCTGCTCCCCCGCCGCACCTGAGCGCCACCCCTGCCGGTGAGCGGGAGCCTGCTAACACGGACACCCAGGACGCGGAGCCAGTTGCCCGTGCCTCTGGCTGCTGGTTGTCAGCGGGTTCAGGCCTCAGAAACCACCCTCCGCAGGCCCCCAAGTCCTGGGACCTAAAGACCGCCTAGAGGAGGAGGGGAGGGCAGCGGGGAATACTTGCTTTTTGCAAAAGCTTTGACATTGTTCCTGAAGAGTGCTGATCAGAGAGAAAGCCCTTTGTGTCCCTCAGAAGGATGGGCGTGTTTCCCTTCCAAACCCGTCCAGTAACGGGCAGCTCTGTGTGATCCTCGCTCTGATCAGCTTCCTACCTGAATTCAAAGCTGCTTCTCCTGGCAGGACTCCGTGCTTCGCTGTTGACAGAAACGGTGGGGCCTGTGCTGGTGGGTGGGGGTTGTCTTTCCCTTGGTCAGCAGAGGGGCCTCTCTAAAGGCCTCTGCACCGCAGATCCTGGAGCCCGCCCTGCAGACAGAGTCGCCTGCAGCCGCTGGCTATGCTGACCTTCCCGCCCTTCTGCGGGGGAGAAGCCCGTGCCGCCTCAGGGCTGCGTCCAGCTCGCACCACCCAGAGCTCAGGGAGGCCACTGCCCCAGCACCCAGCGCCCTCAGCCTGGCAGCTGCCTGTGCAGATGGCTTGCCTGCTGTAGGTGGTTCCCTGGAGGGTCGCCCGGTGAACTGGACTCCTGGTCATCCTGAGAGTCAGACACTTCAGCCGGAAAGGAGGTGAGTACTGCTGGCAATTCCATCTGCCTCCGCAGGTCTCCCCAGCTTCCAGCCCACGACCAGCCCACGACCAGAACACCCCCCTCTCCAGTGTTTAAGGAACTAAAATAAATACTACCTGGCCTGCTAGGATGGTGAACCCCATTTGAAAAGTTTAAGAAAAATAAAAATGTAAAAATAAATGCATAAAAATTTAAAACACAAAACCCCTCAAGTTAAATTTTAAAAAAGCCAGAGGAAAAACATACCTACTTAGCTTGTTCGTCTTTCTAGTCCTGGGTCTCCAACAGAGCCATGCGAACATGACGGAACATGACGGCCGAGCAAGTGGGGCCGGCAGATGGGGGTGCCTGGTGGGGGCCTGATTGGAGCCCTGCCACACCTCCAAGAGCAGCTGCAAAGGTAAGGGGCTTGCCTCGGTCTGCCTGCTGAGGGGCAGCACGGTGACGGGTCCCCGACGCTGGCTCCGTTGCAGGGAGACTTCATGAGGGAACATCTACACTGGGGAGGGGGCGGGGCTTGGCCTCCCGGAGTCAGGCGTAGTGTTGCTGGTACTGCCTGACCTTTTCAGGAGACGGGGCAGAGACAAGGACCTGGGTTTGTAGTAAGTCTGGTCAAAAAGGGAGGCAAGTACTTGGGCATCTGTGATCAGGAATCCCAGGGCAGCCAGACCAGTTTGTTAATGACTAATTTGGAGGTAAAGACTGCCCACTGTTAAGTTGGGGGCTGTCAAAGCCAGACATCAGAGAACGCATTCCCTATGCCATTCAAATCCAAGCTAAGCGAGCTGTTCCTCTGCGAGACAACTGGCTAGTGTATTGTGTGATCCATCCTTTCATCCCTTACTCTTTAAAAGTTTCCCCCTTGAAATTCATCCTAGAGACTCTAGAAAATAGGCCATTAGGATACAGAGCCCACTGGTTATATAAGCTGAGTTGATAAGGGATCTGTGGAGTGCAAATAATGTGTTTTTACTACACAATAATAAGAGGGCACTTTTATCATTTAAGCGTCCTGACAGTTCTCAATCTGGGGCGGCAGTAGGAAGTCTAAAGATCCTTGCATAGGAAGGATTCCTTGATAAGGAAGCACAGCATGTAAACTGGAAATAGAAGTACTGAAATCCACATTGCAGGCAGTAGGAGCAGAATTAACACTGCAGAAAATTTAATGTGATGTGGACAGGAAAGCCATGAGAAGCTCTCCGAAAACAACAGAAAAGGATGGAGAGATGAAAACAATGAGGATAAAATTATAAAAATGGAAGGCAAAGAAATCTAAGATTTATAACTCTTCCTGAGTGGGGTGGGGGCGCACAAACAGAAGTATTATTTAAAGATGTAATTGTAGAAAACTTAGGTTCTAAAAAAACATCCTTGCAATGCAGATGGAAATGAATGCATTTGATAAAAATGAAAGCAGAGGGCCCTGCTGGAAAAACCGCCGTGCACTCTATGCATCATTTCTTGTGTCTTCTGTGCACCAAATGGCAGGACTCCCAGGGCATATATGTTTGAAGCCCACAACATGTTTGGACTCTAGCATGTGAAGAAAGCTGTGTCTACAGGAAGCAGCGATTGTAAAAATTATAAAATTATAACATCATAAAAATTATAAAATTGTAAAAATTGTAAAAGAAAAAAATGAATTTTTTTCTTTATCTAAAATTAGATTTTATGCCATATTAGCATATGCCATTGCTTTACACTTAAAGGGATGGTTAATTCTATAGTGTCAGCCCAGATAGGGGTTTTTGGTTTTGTAAATGCCCTGAGATATTTTAAGTGACCTGTCCATGTCTCATTTTCAATTTTCCTTCTTTCTCTTTGATCTTTTTCTTAACTATCCCATGTTTTCCCTCTTCTTGGTATAAGGTTTGAGCCTACTAATAGTTGATATTGCTCAGCACTGCTGGTGACTCTGAGGGACAAAGTAACTTCCTTGGGCATCCCACTGTAGCTGGTGGGGCTGGAGACCAGAACCAGGGGCCTTCAGGTTACCTGAGGGGATTGATGGGTCTGTGAAGGTCTGGCAGGAGGGAGGTGGCAGCCAGAATGTCTGGGATGACTATAAGACAAGACTGCAGACTTACTGAGGGAGTCGAAGGAGAGAAGCGTCACTGTGAGCAGAGGGTGGCATTTGCACACAGGCCCAAAGAGATAGGCAGGCCAGAGTGCCTGAGATTAGAACTTGGGTGGTTACCGGAGGGCAGCATGCCAGACCAACGGACCACAGATGGGCAGGTCAGGGATCTGGGCTTGCTTAGAGGACCAGGGCCAGGGTTTGGACATCCTTGCCTTAGGCCATAACTAGTGTCAGGAGTGTGAAAGCAGAGCTAGGATGAGAATTCAGGCCTTTTCCACCCCATTTTGTTTTAACTCATTTCTGAATTATTTAAGCCATTCTCCCTCCCAAGAATTTCAAGTATTACTGCTTGTCGTCATGTCATCAAACACTGGATGGTTTATTCCTCTGAATAGCAACAACAACAGGATAAAACAGCACAGAACTCCAGTCTGCTCCCGTTATAATACAGGTTAAATAGGTCAGGTTATTTCCTGTTTTCTAAATGTTCCTCCAGTAGGATGTCACTTAGTGTAGTTATATGTGGATGTGATTCTATTTCCTCCAGGGTTATTTTAGGCAGAGGATGATGCTGGGACCTTATGTCTTCATTATGATTAGTGACAAGAGTGTACTTTTCTGTTTATTCCAGAACCTTAAGATTTCAGAGCTTGATGAAAATAATAAAGATCACCTAGTTCAAATACCTTCTTAAAATAAAAAATAGAACTATCATACGATCCAGCAATTTTACTTCTGGGTATTTATCTGAAGAAAACAAAACACTAATTCAAAAAGATATCTGCACCCCCATCCCCCGTTCATTGAAGCATTATTTACAATAGCCAAGATATGGAAGCAATGGAAATGTCTATCAGTGGAAGTGTCTAACTAGTGCCAGGAGTTTGAGAGCAGAGCTAGGATGAGAATTCAGGCCTTTTCCACCCCATTTTGTTTTAACTCATTTCTGAATTATTTAAGCCATTAGATGAGTGGATAAAGAAGATGTGGACAAAGAATGGATAAAGAAGATATATGCAATGGACACAACTCAGCCATTGAATGAAATCTTGCCATTTGTGACAAGATGGATGGACCTAGAGGGTATTACGCTAAACAAGCTGGACAGAGAAAGACAAATACCATAGTACTTCACATATATGTGGTACATAAAAACAAATCAACAAAACTCATGAATACAGAGAACAGACAGGTGGGCACCCAAGGGGAAGGGATTTCTGGGGTGGGCGGATTGGGTGAAGGGGATCAAGAGGTACAAATGTCCAGTTACAAAATAAATGAGTCATGCAGATGTATAGCATGGTGACTATAGTCAGTAACACTGTATTACGTATTTGGAAGTTGCTGAGAGTAAATCTTAATCTCATAAGAAAAACTTTTTTTGTAACTTTTATGGTGACGGATGGTAACTAGACTCATTGTGCTGATCATTCTTGCAGCATATACAAATACTGAATCATTATGTTGTACACCTGAAACTAATTGTGTTAAATGTCAATTATATCTCAATATAAAAGATGCCTTTTTTAAAATTAGAAATGAAACCTGAGGTTCAGAGAGGTAAAGGAACCTGTCCGATTCGCAGAGCAGGGATGGGCAGAGATGGGGACGGAGTAGAAGTCTCCGACGCCCAGCGCTGTGCTCTCTGTAATGTCATGGCTGTGTAATCACACTTAGGAACAAAAGCCTCTCTCAGACACTGGAAACCACATGGAAATTTCAAGAGACTCCTAACAATGGTCTGTTTAAAAGCCCTTTCAGTGGAGCACAGGCACCCGCCCCCCAGCCCCACCCGCCCTGCCTTCTCTGGTTGTTTTACATTGTCAACTGGTATTTTCCCCAAGCAGCTGCGCAGCCCTCTGCGTCGTTCTTGTGCTGACGCCGGGCTGGGGCTGGGCTCCCGCGGCGGTGTGGGGCGCCCAAGACGCCTGCAGGGCCAGGCGGGCGCCGCCGCCACGCCCGCGCCTGCTGTATCATGAGGCTGCACAGCAATAAACGGCGCACGACGCGCGGCAGGCCCAGAAACGACACAAACTTCCGTCTTCGTCCCCCAGGCCGCCCTGACAGTCGGCCGCGGGGTCCCGTGGCGTCGAACGAGACACGCCCCTCTCTCACTTCTGGAAGTCTGAAATCAGGTTGCCGGGCGGCGCCTCCGTCCCAGGCCCCAGAGATCCGCGGCCTGCAGCCGCCCCGCCGAGCGCCTCTGTCCGAGCCCCCCACTCCTCCCCCCGCCGCCGGCGCGGATTCCGGCCCGCCACCCGCGGTGGGACCGCCTCTGACCCTGACGCGCCAGCAGAGACCCCGGGCCCGCAGCAGGGCACGGGCACGGGGCTGCACGCCAGCATCTCTTTTTGGGGACACAGCCCCCCGCAAACAGCACCCGAACGGTCCGCGGGTCCGCCACTGTCACTGGTAAGTGGGGCCTCCGCCGGCGTGCGCATATCCCCGTCCGGGGTCGCCCACAGGGGCCGAGGCGCATGGGGTGAGGGCCGGCCCCAGTTCTCGGTGAGGAAGCGTCCGGGACGCACGCTACCCCGCCACAGTGCGCAGCGGCGGTTTGTTTTCCCCCCGAGTTGAGCCTCTCTTGTTAAAATCCTACATTTTAAAACTCCTCATTCAATGTGCATTACCAGCTTGGGTTTCCCTGTGTGCCTTCCATCCTGGCTCCCACCCGCCCCCAAGGGGCACTGTGTCTGCCGGGTCACCTCAGCCTCTAGGAAAGGCTTCCTTGCTAGCCTCCCGAGGCCAGCATGGAACTTCGTGCAAACAGGACCCGAGACTTTTTGAGATGATGCAAAGACGGCGTGTGGAGGTCAGGAAGGAGCTCACACAGCTACGGTTCTTGAAGTACTCCTTCATCCCTAATGGGCTTCAGTTTCTCTATTGTTTTTACTAACATACGTCATTAAGGGTACATCCTTCAGCTTAGATAGCTGCTGAAATTGGGGGTCTTCTCCCTTTTCTTTGGGAACTCATGATGCAGAGGTACTTTTAACACTGAAGCCCAACGTTGGCGCAGGGATTTCCAGGGGGCTCTGAGATACTTGGGTTGACAGGTACTGGCTCGCTGCAGGGGGACTTTGGCCTCACGCATAGATGTCCATTTCATCAGTATTTGTCCAGAGGAAAGCCCGGCTGGAGGCCGCGGGACACGCTGGGGGCCATCACCCAAACAGCTCCATGTAGTCGGGCGGCTGGTCCTGCTGACCGCAGGGGTACAGAAGGCGCTCCTGCCCCAGGGAAGTGAGGGGCTCCTCCTGGGAATCAGAAGACACAGGTCAGGCGGGCTGTGGGGCAGGTTGTTAGGACAGTCGAAATAACGGTGGTGCCCTTCCCACGTCTGCAGAGCATGTCGCTTCCTGCCTCCCCGGGACTCACACAAAGTTTGACTGGTTTTCCCTCCCGGGCTCAGGTTCTAAGCTAAGAGCATTCTCAGATGGGCACAGTAAGCACAGACACTTAGCATCGCCTATATTCCCTGCCCCAGTGGGGTCTCCCTAAGTATCTTAGGAGGGACCAGCTTCCAGGGCAAGGAAATGCAATTCCTCCTGATTATCAGGCAGAATACTCAAAGGCTCGTCCCTCCATTACTTGTCTCAGTCTTTTCCCGTGGAACTGCCTTTCGTGATTAGAGCAGCTGCAGGATCACAACTCATGGAAATGAAGTCTGTAGGGCGCCCTACCTTATGGTATTCCACCAGCGCCGCCAGCGAGGTGTGCTGCAGCCGGTCCACCCCCAGGAAGCTGTAGGAGTCCCCAGAGGCGTCTATGAGGAAATGCTTGCAGCCGTCCTCGGACAGGTAGGACAGGGCGTAGCCTTTGATCCTTTCGCTGACGCGGATCAGAAAGCTACCTGGCACGCAGGTGCTCAGAAGCTCGTTGGCTCTCTTTAGCGTGAGAATGCCTGTGGGAAGGAAAAGCAGGAGGTTCGGCCAGACCATTTCCAAAACTCGTCTGTTTAGCACAGCTGTGTGGGTCGCGATTAGTGAAAGGGAAGGGCAACTTGAAGCCCACCTTGAGGCTCTCAGGCATGCAGCACAGCAGCGTGCCTAACATTTGGCCATTGGCGAGGGAAGGCTGAGGAAGCCAAGGGCCGGGGGCACACATGTGACCTGGAGAATCCATTTCCCTCCCACACCCGGGTTCGGTGGCATAGGTGTGAGATGGCTGCTGAGCCTGGGGAGCCCTTGCCAGGCCTACTGGGAGGGCTGGGCCAGGGAGGCACTTGGTGAGGCCTGAGAAAGGATCCTAGTCCTGAACAGTGGCTCTCGGCTAGAGCAGCGTCTGGACATGGCAGAGATAGATTTGGTTGTCACTGGCCGGTGGGGCTGGTGCACTGCTAAACCTCCCACTGAGCCCAGGGCACCCCCCAGCAAAGAGTGATCTGGCCCCAAATGCCGATCGTGCTGATGCTGAGAGACACCAGCCTGGGAGTCGGCAGGTTAGTGAAGAACCAGGGCCGCCCCAGGCCTGCTGAACACCCTGTGCTGCAACTGCTCCTACATGGCGTTTATTGGCATTCAAGGAATAAAAGTGTATCTGTACTTACGTGTGTGTGTAAATGTTTACACACTTATGTCTTCACATGTCTTCATATGTATTCAAAAGAATGAAATGCTTCATATACATGAAGTTATATATGACATATATTACATTCTGTGTAACACATTACATATACATTATATATACAATGTATATATTACACACACACACACACACACACACATTTATAGCTCATATGCCTCATGAATTCACACTAATTCAGACCAGCCTTTTGCCTAATTTGTCCAAGCCCATGAGGTCTGACTCATATACAGTTTCCTTCTTACTCCTATTTAATTCCTCAGATGAATCGTGATGTTATCACACACACAGAATGCGCACAAACGCCTCTCAGAAAGACAGGGCATGTTATCCAGCGAGCTCCACTTGGGAGGAGGAGCCACATTCTCCTAGAGGCCCTTTTCACTTCAGCAGACAGATGCCACCATCAGCTCCGGGGTGATACTCAGGATATTATTAGGAAAACAAACAGACAAAACCCTCCCAGTGAAAAGGCAATGGATTATCATAGTCTGTTACTCTTATTAATGAAGTTAATTGAGAATCGAACCCAATTATCCAGAGTAAAATGTAAAATGAAACATTTATTTATAAATTTTTTTAGCAGAACTTTAATAAAAACTGCCTGTTCTTCCCCAGCAAAGATTGACCCAGCCTCTGTCCTGCCTTCTCCTGTGCTCCATCCGGGGGCCCCCAGGGCCTGCTCTCCAAAGCGCGGGGCAGGAGGCTCAGGTGCAGTGATGGCGGGGTGAGAATGAGGTGCGGGGAGGCCTGGCAGTCTCCCCACACACAGGAAGGGGCCCTGAAGTGAGGCAGTCTCCTGTCCTGTCCTGCAGGGCCTCCCACTCCACTGTGTTGCCTGGAAGCATCTGCGGCCTGCATGTTATCTCCAGCACAGCCTGTAGCTCCCTGCCTCTCCTGGGTGAGATGGATCCGCTGGCATCTATAGGCACAGCAGGTTCTGAGCCTCTGGGGACAGTGGGGACCTGGGCATGGCTGCCGTGCCAGCCATGTCAGGCGCTCAGAGGAGGCCCAGCCAGGGCTAGCGAACACCACGCTGCTTGCCGGGGCCGATTTAGCTTTCCAAACACACCTGTCCCGCTGATCAATTTCAGGTGACACCAAAAGTGGAAACAAGGCAACAGGTAACCAGGCTGCCCGGTGACCGCACATGACCAGGGACAGTTTCACCCACCCAGTTACTGCCCTGCAGAGCCCAGGGGCTGATAAACCATGAGGGACAGTGGGGCGGCGTTAGGGACAAGACTTCTCTCCCCTCCAGACTCACAGCAGGCTAACTGTGCAATCCGCAGTTGCTTAGGCAGATGGTGTAATTTACATCTGAATGTTACCCAGATGGATTTCGGTTCCCCAAACAAGAGCTATTCTGGAGAATTATAACCAACCCTGGGCTGAATTCCTCCTGAAATCAGGTCAGAGTAGCTCCACCTCAAACTGCCTGAGAGCCTCTCAATCTGAAATTATTACCCTTACACATACACCTGGGCACTGTCTACCCTCCACAGACACCGGAACACAATAAAATGATTTTATTCAGGAAGCTGCTGAACACCCCGGTACTGACAGCAGACTCGGAAGGAAAGCGCTGCGGAGCCGAGGCTGTGCTATTGCATCACAGCAGGACTGCCGTTCCTGAAGAGCACCCTCTCTTGGAGCCTCCACTGATGCAGGTCCATGTATAATTTCTCACGATCCCAACAACAGCAGTGGGCTGGCTGCGCCAGCTGGCCAGCAGTGAGCCTGGGCTGCCCACAAATAGAGCTCTCGAACGCAAAGCCAAAATCCAGGGTCAGGTACTAATCACTGTGGATGCAGGCTGCCTCCTCACAGTACTTATCCCCTGATCGACTTCCCCGGGCACGACTTGGAATTCTGAAGCCGTGGTCTCCACCCAGCCTCTCCAAAAGTGGTGACACCCCAGGCTGCCTCATTTTTACCAGCTCTCTTCCCACATATTAAAAGAACCAAACCTTTCAGATGTCATAGGAGGATTTCTGTGCTAGTGAAAAGGGGTAAATAAACATCATCAGTTTTTGAAATACACCAGGTCTCCTCCACACAGGGGCAGTGTGTTTAGAGCTGAATCCGGGCAGGGTGCGGCAGAACTACAGGGCCCAGCAGACACCAAGGACCCTGCACAGGGTCTTCTGAAGAGGCTGTGGTAGCCGCGCCGGCTTCTGCGAGCTCGGAGGTTCACATGGCTGGAGTTGAGGGCAAGCGCCCCTCGCTGCATGATGCCAGGTGCTTCTAGAACAGTACTGTTCCACAGAATTCCCTGTGATGATGGAAATACCTTGCTGGCCACATGTGCCTACTGAGCAGCTGAAATGCGGTCAGTGTGACTGAGAGAACTCAACCTTTAATTTTATTTAATTTTCATTAATTTCAATATAAAAAGCCACATGTGGCCAGTGGTCACACTGGACAGTGCAGCTGTAAGGCCCTCTGGAGTGGAGGTTTAAGGCTCCCTGGCAGGCCCAGGAAAACCACTGGAGAGGGTGAACAGTTCTCAGGAGACCTGAAAAAACTCAGAAACTCTAGGAGGGTGCTGGCTGGAAACCCAGCAGCAGTGACACTCCTACAGAAGGAGGACAGGCCCACTGGTGCCCCGCTCCACAGCTTCCTCCCCGAAGTACCAACTCATTCTCCAAGAGCCAGCTCAATGGCACGAAGCTTCCTGATTTCCCCCTGAGCTGTAGGTCTCAGGTTCCCCTAGGCCCGCTAAGCTCCCACTTCTACCTCCAGCTGACTGCCTATCCAAGGTCTCCCCTACTCCCACCCCAGCTGGGCACTCACCCGGCCCACCCGAGGTCTCACCTACTCCTACCCCAGCTGGGCACTCACCTGGCCCACCTGAGGTGTCAGGGGTTCCCACCCTAGCTGGGCACTCACCCAGCCTACCTGAGGTGTCAGGGGTTCCCACCCCAGCTGGGCACTCACCCAGCCTACCTGAGGTGTCAGGGGTTCCCACCCCAGCTGGGCACTTACCCGGGCCACCGGAGGTCTCTCCTGCTCCCGCCCCAGGTGGGCACTCACCTGGCCCACACAAGATCTTGCCTGCTCCCGCCCCAGCTGGGTATTCACCCGGCCCACTCGAGGCCTCACGGGCTCCCCCCCAACCTCAGCTCCCGCAGTCACAGCTCTGTCAGTGCTCACAGCACATTCTGCTGTGTGTCTCCCTGCCCCACCCCTGTCCTGTGAGCTCCTAGAAAGCAACTACCACATCTTATCTATTTCTCAGCACCTGTCACTTAGAAGACGCTCAGGAAAGAGCTAACAAATAAATTCATTATAATCAAGTCAGAAACTTCCTTCCCAGGGGCACTTAAAAGCAGCCACTACCTGTGGCCTGAGAATTGTTACCAGTGGCCCAAAGGTGCCCTCCATGTTTCTCTGCAGCACTGCCAGGCTTCACTTTGTTTATATATGCACATCTGCCTGCCCTACTTCCAGCATCTGGAAAATAGGTGCTTAAAACCAAGTGGAAGAGAACCAGATAACAACGGCACCTGCAGCTCTCACCGTCGGCCTGGCACTCCTCCAAGTGTGCAGGACCTCACGGTCCTCACAGCGCCGGGCAAAGGCTGTGTCGCTGACCTCTAGTAACCAGCGAGAGAACTGAATCACCGAGCCGTCACGGCGCGCTGACCCCAGGCAGCCCACCCACAGCGCCATCCCTGCGCTGGCACCTCACGCCGCTCAGCACGCCTCCACGGGCCCTTCCACGGCGTCCTCCCACGTGCCCCACACAAGCCTACTACCATCCCCTTTCTGCAGGTGGGGGACCCGCGGCGGGAAGGGCGCAGGCCCCAGGCTACAGGACTCGTGGTGGGCCAGGGCTCTGTCCCCCACTCTCACCAGTCAGCTTTTATGCCCCCAGGCTCATGGACTTTTCCTGGAATTGGCTGAAAATAAAATATGAGCATTTATTGCACAAAGAGGTGTTCATGTCTCACCTGGGCAACATAAAGGCACAGTCTTCAGTGATTAAGTCACCTGCACTATCAGTGACCTCTGCCACCTCTCCCAAGCTCAGGTTCACACTCCTGAGGACAGAAAAGCCCCCCACGTCCTCACTGCGCATGCGCGGGGCTGCTGGGCCACCTGGGCGCTGCCCTATGGCTCTGCTGCTCATACTGTCTCTGCCTCTTGGCTGCCCAGAATGCAGTGCAGGGGGACGGCGCCAGGCAGCGTCATGAAGGGGCGCGCCTCTGCTACTCAGGCGACCTCCAAGTCCCATACTGCAGTCTGCCCAGAGAAGGGGGTGAATGAAAGAAAAACTGACTTAAAAGTTTCCACTTAAAACTTATTTCCAAGTGA